TAAGTTGGCGGCCATCGGAGGCTAGGGTGGAGGCCATCGCTACTAGGTTGGAGGCCATCGCTACTAGGTTGGAGGCCATCGGTACTAGGTTGGAGGCAATCTCTACTAGGGTGGAGGCCATTTCTACTACTAGGTTGAAGGCCGGTTGGAGGCAATCGCTACTAGGTTGGACATGGTTGGACCAGGCCATCGCTGCTAGGGTGCATGATGTTGGCCATGGCTACGAGGGTGGAGGTCATGGCTTTCAGTGTGTTATGCAGCATATCACGTGATTGAGTCCCAGTTTCCCAGCAACAAATTCACTCTTGTCCACCACTGGCACCAGAAAGTGTTCAGTGCTGTGAAGAGCAAGTCATTTGCAAGTTAGATCTGTTTGTGATTGTTTGTGGCCTGGAGTCCAGGTAAGTCCAGAAATGGAAAGGTTGCACCGAGAGGGCAGCTGTTTGTGAGAATCTCAGCAAGTGCATCGGTTTTACTTTGTGGAAGACTCACTGTTAGTTTGCCTTTGGAGTCCAGATATAGTTTTCAGTTTGAAGTTCATTGTGTGCACTTCTATTCGTTGCATAGCTGAGGCCATGTATTTTCTTCATGAAGAAAGCAGAGTTGTGTCGATTGGGAGGAGCATGCACTCACTGTCACCTTTGCACATATGCAGAGGGTCGCAGAAGACGCAACCGTATCTCGTATGCCACGTGACTGCACGAGCTGTCCGAGCTGTGTTGGACTGTGTTTAAGCGCCCACCTGAATCCACTCAGGTCAAGCGAAGGGAAAACAGAGCTGCCCAGCGCCAGTTGCAACCTGGCAACACTAGCTGAGAAGCAAGGCCTTTATTAATATAATTTGCAATACAAGTGGTTGAACAGTACATGCAGATGTATGCAAATGCATGCAAATGCTGTGATGCACCCGAGATCTTTGTGTGGGTTTTTCCCGAATGCGTAGCGAAGGGTTCCCATTTATAGTTGGGGGTCTGGGGGTTGGAGCTGTGTTCGCGTGGCTTGCGTCGTCTCGTCGTTTGTCGTCGTCTCTCGTCGTTTGTCGTCGTCTCTCGTCGTCGTCGCGTCTCAAATTTGCTGCCATTGGGGGAAGCTTTTGCAAGTGAGTTTGCATGGATGCGTCACGTGTCAGTTTGCGCCGCTATTCCATTGTGATTTGCATGCGCCGACATGTCGCGCAAGAAACGTGATGCATTTCGCTGCACAGGCGCAGCGTTTTGTGAGATCCGCAGTTTGCTGCGCAGTGCCATTGGGATTAGTGTTTGGAGAGTCGTGTTTTTGGGGTGTTGGATGTGGCCGTGCCATTGGGATTTGCGTTTCAGGGTGTGGCATCGAAGCTCTGTTTTCGTGACAAGTCTCAGCTGAAATGGCGATTTTGGAGGATGGGAGTGTGCTCTGAACGGGTCAAAATCATTCCAAACGTGTGGTGTGGTGCAAATTTTGTTGAAGCTCACATGCGATGATATTGTCACTTTTCGTGGCAGGCGCAGGACTTCGTGCGGGTTTTGAAGCGTGGAAGTGCGATTCTCGTGGCAGGCGCAGGGAATCGTGAGGCTGCGAGGTGTGAGGGAGGTGACATTTCGTGGCAGGCGCAGTACTTTGTGCGCGTCAGACGTGTGGATGGGGAAAGATTCGTTGCAGGCGCAGGGAATCGTGAGGTTGTGAGTTGTGGTAGAGGTGAATGTTGCTGTCGCATTGGGATTGGCGTGTGAGCGGATGTTGTTTGGAGGGGCTGGAATCGCGAAACTGCTTGGCAGGGCTGCGTGATGTGTGTGCTTTGATGGGTGTTTCCGCTTGACTTTTGGAGGAAGTCTCGTACGAAACGCTCGTTTTGCTGACTTTGACGTGTGAGTTTTTCAGGAAGTCTCGAACGAAACGCTCGTTCTGGAGACTTGACGCGCAACCCTCTGCGGAGATCGTGCGTGTCGAGTGTGCGAAATGCAGGCGAGAGTGCGATTTGTCCCACGCGCGCGCAACCCTCTGCGGAGATCTTGCGCGTCGAGTGCGCGAAATGCAGGCGAGAGTGCGATTTGTCCCATGCGCGCGCAACCCTCCGCGGAGATCGTGCGTGTCGAGTGCGCGAAATGCAGGCGAGAGTGCGATTTGTCCGGTGCCCGCGCAACCCTCTGCGGAGATCGTGCGCGTCGAGCGCGCGAAATGCAGGCGAGCACTGGCGACTTTGTAGTACAACTTTAGTACGCGGGGTATCTGGCGAGCTGGAAGATGAGAACTGGTGACTTGGTAGTACAACTTTAGTACGCGGAGCAATCTGTGGAGCTGGAAGCTGA